GTAATATTCAATTGTAATGACCTTCAAATCACATCAACTACAAAAACAACATACATTTCCATTTAGCCTTTTGTTGTGTCTCAACAAAACCGACTAGGAAAATTATTCTCCAATCAAACGACGACGTTGAGTTCAAATGTAAATCCATGTTAACAAAACCGGCGTAGACACTACAACCATGCAAATGTTACTAAACAGCTCCACACATGCACACATATTTACACAGATACACACTGAGCACAAAATGCCAACATTTCATTCATTCATCACCACTACAACTAATTTAAAATTCTAATTTTCCATAAGGCAAGAGATATTGAATTAAAAATAAAATAAAAAACAACAACAGCAAAACAATCACATAAAATCGTATTAAACTGAAACAATGAAAAATCGCAGAAAAAAAAAACAAAAACAACAACTGAAGTAAATTAAATGATAAATGTATTTTGTTGTTATTTCATTAAAACTACAGCGGGGAATTTTAGCTGTTGCAACATACCGATCTAGTTGAGATGAGTAGCTATGTGGATACTACTAGTAAGTACATATGGAGGGTATTTCGGTAACCCTTGAGAGGTGGATAATACATACAGATGGGGATTAAATGATTGATCGAATTGTATTGTAATTTAATCGTATTTCATTTGATGTAAACGAAACGTTAAAGATTTAAACATCCACCCACAGAATGGTAGTGGGTATTATGTCTTTGTATATGTGTATGTGTATTTAATATCCAGAAGATAACCGGACAACATATTTTTTAACCATTGAGTGAGTCGATATATCTCATGTAAATAGTGGTCTTCTGGGCGATACCCTATTCTTGAGAATGGAATTGGGTGCACGTCTACACCTTGTGCCGTATAGTATATAAATTCCACGTTTGGCCGATACAAAATGAGCTTGAGCCGATGTGTGAGAACTCGAATTGACATATCACAATGATTCGTCTAAATTCTCCCAAGACTTCAGGCGAAGGAATCATAGTGAACTACCATATACCCTCTACTTCGTTAGCGGGTCTTTCAAAAAAAAAAAATATATATATATTTTATAGTTAAAATAAAAAAAACCAATGAGCGGAGCAGTATAGTCGGACGGGGCCGACCATACGATACCCTACACAACTACCACGGAAATCTAACTTTCTGTGGAATTTTATTCCGAATATGTTCAATATTTCGTAATAGTTGCACACTCTTGCCCGATTGGAGGTCAAAAGCATCTCTTCCTTACACTGACATATTTTCCGGATATTCCCAATATTCAGTACAGCCCTTCTAAATACTTGTCCAGATTCCATTCACTGTGGGTTCTGTTGTGACGTTCGGCATGTGGTCTATAGATCGAATCGAAAAAACACAAAAAATTAAGTTTTCGGTCCACTCCATCCCAATATTATTATCGGATCATGACCAAAAATTATAGGCGATGTCCTTGATTCTCATGAAAATTTTAAAGCGATCAGCGCCATATTTCAGCCCTCTTGTGTGGTGATGGTTTACTAAATAATATATTAATACGTAAGCACCTGTTCATATTTAAGTGTAACTCCCACATCCGAGTACATACGGCAATATAATTGGTATCAATTTAAAGGCCAACCACTACTCTTGGATATAATATAAACTTTTCGGGTCCAGGTCCTTCAGGAGTAAATATATGCGGTGTAGAATACAAATTTTGTCATTTTTCACACAAAAGTCAGGGTCCATTTGACCCGCTAAATATTGAACGATCTTTATCAAAACATGCATGCTTATTCTATGGCCGGATCCTCTTCTCCATGCAAAAATTCGCGGTGTTTGGGCCATAATTGCGGCCTCTGGAGCGACCAGAAAAACGGACAAAAATTTAGTATTTGGTCTATTTCATCCCCTAAATATTAATCGATCTTTTCCAAAAACAATAGGGTCTTCATTGGCCAGAACCCATCCTACATGCAAAATTTCGTGAAGATTGGTCCATAACTGTGGCCTGTATCGTGTTTACAAATTATAATGGACAGACGGACGGACACACATGTCTAGATCGACTCAGCTAGTCGAGATATGACGATCGGTATACTTAAAGGTGGGTCTAGGACCAATATTTCGCGGCGTTACAAACTTTTGGCCCTGCACAAAACTATTACACCCTGACAACATAGTTGTGTAGGGTATAATGATTCGCCACCAGTGATATTATAAACATAGTATAAAGCAGGAGAGCAAACCTCTTTTATTATCAGGTGCAATATCGATGATTCACTTTAAACGGTCTTTAGTACGGACAACCTTAGACAAACTTTGAGTGAGTTTCCATTGTGATTGAATTCATTAAATGACGCATGACGTTTCATTTTTACCCCGATGCACTGTTGTTGTGATAAGTCTTGTCAAATAATGCAAAACATTATACCACGAAGATGTTTACAGGGTAATTCCATTTATTGTCAAATCGTACTAAGTTCGTTTACACTTAACATTTTAATGGAAGTGTCTCGTATTAAATTGTTACTGTGTTTGCGAATATAGTTGAAAGGTCTATCTTTAATATCGGTCCACATCTTCGGTATTTTATCAACGCGTTCGGCATAACAAAATCTATTTATTTTAAATATTTAAGGGGTATCCGATAGTTCTTCATAATTTACAATACATAGGAAATGTGTTAGTGTTCGTAGTTAAAAAAAATTTTAAGTAAGGATCGAATAGAAATGTTAAAGAACCATAAAAATATACAAATACCGATTTCTTGTCTATGGGGCCCTATCAACGAGCGAATTTTTGTAGAAATATTTCGTTTTGTGTGTAGAAAACAAGTACGAAAAAGGCATACAATGACTCGAGATATTACGCTTTTCCTTCAAGAATTATAGGGTCACTAGAAAAAAATCATCCCACCATAACTGGGCATGGGTCCCATATTAAGGAACCGGTCCATTTTGACTATTTTAATGGATCTAAGTGCATTTTCCAATAGTAAAAATCAAGACAAACATTTCAGAATCTTTCGAAATTTCGGACTGAATTTCATAACTCATAGTTAGGCTAATTATACCCGACAAAAATGCGTCTTGTCGAAATATTGGTTTTAGACTCCATGTATTCACACAATTTGCAGTCGATTTACAAATGTCCGTCCGTCTGTCTTGTCGCGTAGCGCGCACAGTATCCTTCGAAGAGAGTAACCGATTTTATGCAAACTTTTCTCATCGTAATATTACTTCCGTATATAGTTCAAGTTCGAAGATTGGGATTATCGGTCCACTCCTTCTGGTACTTCCCCAACAAAATGGTCAAACATTAAATTTATAATATCAAGCGAACAGGCTGTCTGATTTGAATAAAATTTGGTACAACCAATTATCTTTACAAAGCCTAAATCAAGACCGAATATGAGACCCATTTGTTCACTCCTTTACAAATGCAATAATATGCGAACATTTACCATGCCTAGATTAAGTCCGAAGATGAGAACCATTGGTCCACTTCTTCTGGTACCTCCCTCACAAATGGTCAACATTATAAATCCCGTATCAGACATAAAGATTGTCCGATTTGAACCAAATTTCGTACAACCTATTATTTATACCAATCCTAGATGAAGTCCAAAGATGTGACCCCTTAGTCCACTCCTTTTGGTAACTGCCCCACAAAGGGTCATTATCTTAAAAACTTGCAAATTTAATTTGAAGCTAAATGAATAATCGACAACGACATTAACTCCGAACCTCTTAGATAAGAACACATACCTTACATAAGACGAATCATAAAACCTGTGTGTAATTCCGAAGAGCTTCGCAAACTGAACGTTGAGGGTATCTATCTGTCGGCAACTCCCACTGACACTTTTTTACTTGTTTTCCTTTCAAACTAAAATTAGCGAGGTCCTGAATCCGGGTTTTGAATATGACATAACATTTTTGAGTTAATATTTATTAACATTATTATTAAACAAAGAATTAATTGGAACTATAATGTTGAATCATTTCCCTGAAGCTCATACTCAATTTTAAAATTTATGAATTTTAAATTTGTATAAAAACTTACACAAATTTGAACTAACACCATATTACAGGCAAATGTCATAAAAAGTTTATGAAATAATTCATATCTTGCAGTATGCACAGGCAACTTTTTAAGCAACTCTGCTGCTGCTCTTCACGATTCTCTTTTAAATGTCTTCCCCTTTGTTACTATTCATACCTCTCTCTCACTTATAAGAATTCGGCAGAGTTGCTTACAAAAGTGTGTAAAGCAGTAATTCTCATATTACTTGCATTGGTATTTCTATAATACTCTCCAGCCTATGCTAAACAAAAGGCATCGAAATTGAGAGAGAATATGTGTGGTTTGTTTTTACGATAATGCTGGGCAAGCATGGGAACTGGTGCACTTGTTTACATGGATCAATAAGCTCATTCTCTGCGTTCTGTTTTAACAAGTCATTTCATATAGACGTTTCTCATTTATTCTCCGAGAATTTTCTCTCTGCACACCGCTATTTTACGAAAATGTTAAGGGCTGAGCAACACGAGTGTAAAGACCGAGTATACATTTAATTTCTCTATAATATATTGGCACTCTCTCTCTCTCTCTCTCTCTCTCTCTCTGGATCATTATGCCACTCTCAAATCAAAAGACTTAAGCAACAAACTTGATAAAGCGTTTCTAAGCTTAAATAACAAAATTAGCTATGGTTCTATAAATCAAAATGCCTTAAAAATTAATCCTTAATACAATTAAAAAGTTGTATAAGATCGGAATTCATTTTGAACATTAACAAAATAAATAAACTTCAGAATAATTGAAAAAATAATAAAAATGTTTGTTATTAACGTACCAACCTTATATTTACATATATTTCTTACTATTGTAGTAAATTTATTGCAACATCTTTTTGTTGTTTATTTCCATTTACATGTTTTTTTCTCTCATGCAATTACTTCATATCATGAGAATTGACAGACAATAACAATTCATTCTTTTTCTTCTTGTTGTTCTTTCCAGCAAATTGATGGTTATGTAGCTGGTGTCGATTATCCAACATATGATTCGGTGCCTAAAGGTTTATCATTCAAGTGCCAAGGTCGAGCACCCGGATACTATGCCGACACAGAGACTAGATGCCAGGTAAGTTGCAATGATGAAACATTGTCTGTTTATATATATTGGAGAACACACAAGTGTCAATAATTGATGTAATGACAGTCAATGGAACATTGTTATATATATGTGTGATTGAAAATATATCTAAAGATAAATATTACATAGATGAGTGTGTATCTTCTATAGATTAGGGATATTTTTTATGAAACGTGAATTGTTACAATAAAAAAAAAACGTTATGTCCATCAGAATTTACAATAATATTAAAGTAGAGCTTTTAGAATACTTCTTAGCAACGTCTCTTTTTAGATATTTCCAATTTCTTTGTGATACACTTCCAATCAAATTACTGTGACAACAGTGCCTCCTATTTCCGATATAAAAGTCCCATGACATTTTGGGTTTTTTTCAAAAGGTCACAGCCACATATTAAAACGGATGTGACAATAATTTGCCATTTTTACTTCTCAAAGAATAGAAAATTTTCCGACAGAAAATTTTTAATATAGGTTCATGCCTTCCCAGCTCCTATGCTATTGTATGTTATTATACCCTTCACCATAAATTTGTCATTCCGTTTACAAAACGGGGATCCTCCATTAAGTCCGTAAAATTATATGTCATGCTTTGGTCCCTTCATATAAAAGTCCCTGTAATTTGACATGTACTAGAAAGGTGAAACATATATTTGCAAACAAATCTAGATATGGTTTTTTTCCGTGCATAAAGGACTCACTAGGAGACAATTTCCGATGATATATTCTTCAGAACGAATTGTCTGTAATTTGGCAGTTTAGGTTCCCATATGGTAACAAATCTTACTAACGTAGCTGGCTTGTGACAGAACATTCGTTCCATAAGACGATCTTAAAAAAGATTTCCAGGCGCGTCGGTCTTGTTCGCAGCTCTTCCAATTTGAAAAACCATGGTCCGAGATGTTGTCTTCCACTTGATTTTTTCCAGCGAATTCTACGTGATCCACCAGTTGGCTCGCCTTTTGAGCTGAGACATCTTCATCCATTCTCACAACATAACCTAGCCAACGTGGTCGTTGCAGCTCGATACGTCTGACTATGTCGATGTCCGATGGTGGCTGATACCGCTCACAATGTTCGACCTATTTTGTCGATGTCATCGTCGTAGGCGAGTAGCATGTGTTGTTTGGTGTACAGAGTGTCATTTCTGTTCACCTCTCGTATGACCTTTTCCAGCAGGATATTAAAAAGATGCCACGAATACCCGTTCGATACAAAATGGCTTCGAGAGGTGATTTTCGACTTTAACTGCTGACCTTGTGCCAGTTAAAGTTATCCTGCATAGCCGTATTAATTTTACAGGAATCGCGAACGCAGAAATGGCTTTAAACACTTCTGAACGGATAGGGCTGTCGAATGCTGCTTATAGGTGGAATGTGTGTTTTTTCTTGGGTCTTTTCCAGAATGAAAATCTGCTCATTTGTGGATAGTCCAGGCCTGTTTCAATAATGATCCACTTTTATGGGTAGCACTTATATGAAGGAACCTCCCTCCTCTGACATTTCAAGCAAATTGACTCTAATTTTATATTTTAGATTCTTATTAGATAAAACATATGGACTTAAGTTTCGGGGTGGCCCCTTATATGGTATTTTTGAGATTTTGGAGCCATTTTTTCCTATCGAATTGGATTTTCATTGGGTGACAAATCATCATATCAAAATTGTTTTCTATATATTAAAACTCGAGAAAGAGACGCAGATTTCATAATCAAAAAATCGAATTTATCCCATTTATTATGATTACATTTAATGTATTTGTTAAATTTATTTTGCAATAAATAATTCATCATCATTTATCATTGCTCATCAAATTTTATTACTCTTTGGTTTTCCTTTATTTTTTTCCAGATTTGGCATTGGTGTCTTCATTCGGGTCATCAATATTCATTTGTTTGTCCGAATGGCACAGTTTTTAATCAGGCCGTTCGTGTCTGTGATTGGTGGTCCAATGTCAATTGTCCGGCCTCGGAACAATTGTACGAAAACAACGATGAACTCTATCGGACAGCTGACGAAGTTATCAACAACAACAATAATGGCGATGGTGACAATAGCATTTGATATAAGGCCCAAGGGGAGGAGAATGGCAGAGCGAGTAGTAATAATGAAAATTTAGGAAATTTTAGAGGTAGACATGAAGAGTTGAGACAGCGAGGAAGAGGAGGACAATTTAATGAAAGAAGAATGTTTAATAAAGAGGTAGCAGGAGGAGAAGAAGTCGAACAAAAACAACAGAGATTACAATTAGAATTAGTACCACCACCACCAACATCGAGATATCAGCAAAGGCATAGAATAGCACCATTAAGGGCCATCATGGCCACATATCCAACCAATGCACCACCATTATCATCATCATCATCGTCAATAGAATCACCATCACATTCAGCAGTGAAAACCACAACTCGTAATAATACCAAAAATAGTTTTAGAGGCCACATGAAATACTCACAAACAATCCAAAGTAGTCCTAATGCAATATCCCATGGAGGCATCAGTAGCAGTAGTGGTAGTCCAGGTAGCAGTAGTAGTATTAGTACAAATAGCATTAATAAAAATGAGCTTTTCAATCGTAATCATGATAAGCTTAAATTCAATCATGATAAAAAGCAGCAGCAACAACAACAGCAGCGACAACAATTTCACACAAATGAACAACAAAAACGTATTAACAACAGCAACAAAAAAGAATCGGATCATCATTCCCGGCCCATTCAAAGGCAACGTCAACCCGGCAAGTCGCAACATCAGCCCCAACAATTCGGCAATGGTAGTTCCAATAAGAAATCCTCAAATGCCAACACAATCAACAACAACGAAGAATTGAAAGACTACAAGAGCAAAATCAAAAACAAATACAACATCGATTACGATCATTCGCTAGATGAGGAATACGAAATTATTGAGGCCGTTGAATGAAAGGGCATGACGGACAACAGCGATGGACAATAGATGGCTGACCATCACAACCACCACCATCATTGGCAACAAAAGCGACACTCAGACAAAGAGTCGCACAACAAAAGGTTTTTAATAATGATGGTCTGGCGATGGCGATGAATGTAATGATGTTGCACAGCCCCTCTATTAAAATTGCACTGCCAGTTTTTTTGGGAGTGCAAAATTTGACAACTTAAATAGTTTGGCATTATACACACACACGTTGGTATTAATTTACCAAAAAATAAAAAATCCGAATGCAAAAGGTGTTGATTGCTGTAAGAAATTGTGAAATATGATTGAAATTTTCTAGAAAAAAAAAAAATAATAATAATACTCGCTACATTTTAAGTTAATATTTTTAATTTGTATCTATTTTTTTGGTTCCATACTAAATTCAATTATTCTTGTGTTGTTTCTTTCACTCGATTTGGCCACTAAATTTCTACTATTTTTCATTACTGTAGAAAAAATTGTTTTTATTGTTTAATTAGTTATAATTTTATTTTTTTTACTTTTTTATGAATTTTTGTATTGTTTTTACATGGTATATTCTTGTGATCAATAAAAATATTGAAGACAAACTTTTTGGAAGTTTTAAATTGATTATCGATGTAATTTCGATAAAATTTTAAAGATTTTTATATGCTACTTCGCTTTGCGAAGTTATAGCAAAGAGAAATAAATTATGCAATTTTTATATACCCGTCGTCAGCGCCATCTATTGATGAACATGATTCTAATCAAGCTCATCAGTTTTTCGAGTTCAACTTTCCCATCGTATAGCTTTTGAACAGATAATCGCATTTCAACAAAAATAGTGTCATATGAAAGAGTAAATTATCTGCTTTACTATGACCTGCACAATATTGTCAAGGGAAATTATGGAAAATTTTAATACAACATTAAAAAATTTAAATTGTTGTTATTTTAAAAGAATGTATGAAATTGTACCTTTCAGATAACGTGCATTTTGCTTAAATATCTACGGTATTTCAAAATTTATAGGAAAAACAAATGAGGTTAAAATTTCGCATAATCTACTCATTCAACAGATGGCGCTGACGACGAATATTTGCCAGTGTTGCCAATTTTGAAAAAAATCATCAGTATTTTAGATTCTTCATAACTTTTGAGTGCGTAGTGATATGGATATTAATAGCTTAGAACATACACTATCCGACAGTATCTAAGATTGTTTGACAGAGTTGACATGTTAATCGAAAATTACAGTTTTCTGGGTTTCTTCATAACTTTTGAACAATATGAGACAACAATGCAGAGACAAAATAAATTTTAGCGGAAGGGAACAGAAAATATTAATAAAAATAATTTAGAAACTCTTGAAGGATGATATTTTCATTTAAAATTTGAAAGCAGAATGTTGTCAAAAGCAAATTTATGAACAAATTGGAAAATATTTTGTATAGTTATGCCATGCCCGGAATTTTATAAATTTATTTATTTCACAAGAAAGTATACAGTTGTGCCGTTCATATTACACCACTTTCATTTTAATATCTGCAATACGAAGTTATGGCAAAAATAGAAGATGCATGCATATTTTAAGATCGCGTCGTCAGCGCCATCTATTAATGAACATAATTCAAATCAGACACATACCTCTCACCTCACTGTAGTACAGGCTATTATGTCTTTGTGCATATGTTTGTAACAGGCAACAGGAAAAGAGATAGACACATGGTTCCTTTTGAAAATATGCATAGAATTACTTTCTAAGTCGATTTATGCATGTTCGTCTGTCCGCCTGTCTGTCTGCCCATGTTAAATTGTAAACAAGGTACAGGTCGCAATTATGATCCGATTTGGATGAAATATGGTATTATTTGGCCCAATGATGAATCCTATTGAAATTTGAAGAAAATCAGTTCAGTTTTAGAGTTTCGTCTGATTTTATATAAATGGGTCACCATACTGCCAATATTTATCCGATTGAGACAAAATTTTGCACAGCATACTGACTTAAGTCCAGATTAATATATGCGAAGTTTTGTTGAAATGGGTTCAGATTTAGATATAGCTCCCATATATAGCTTCGTCCGATTTTATGTAAATTTTATATATAGGGTGCACCATAAATCCTGTTCTATTTGCACGATATTTTGTTGTTGAAATCGGTTCAAATGTAGATATATTTTTGTCCGATTTTATGCAAATGTTGCAAACTGAGGAGCCTATGTCTTTGAAATATTGCGATTCCATTTCAATGGTCTCCAAAGACGCTATGATTACTCTATCTACAGTATATTGTACATATGAAGATCTCTTGTACATATCCAAAGCGGTATCATATAGTCGGCCCTGTCCGACTTTTGAACTTTCCTGGTGTCATATGAATTTTTTTTGTAATGGCATGCGAACGGACTAACGATTTGAATCATACTTTGCACAACCTAGTATTTTACCAAGTCTGTATATTGTTGGATGATAGAACTTATCGGCGCATTCCTTCTAGTACCTCAGCGTCAAGATTTATAAATCAAATAATATAATGTCCGATTCGACCCAGACTCTGCACATCGTCATATTTTTACCAACCATAACTCAAGTTCCATTCCATTCTATCTTGTACCTTCCCCACAAAGCGTCAACATTTTACAAACCTGTGAATTTATTTTGAAGCGAATTAAATAACCGATTTAATGCATCGTAATATTTTACCAAAGCTGCTTTAAATACGAACATGGGATCTATAGGACAACCTTTTTTGGGTACCACATATGGGTCAATTCTGTGATAAACATATATCTTTGATACAACGAATAAAAACCATTATACACAGTATTTTATTCGTTGTATCCGTGACACTTTGTTTACTAGTTTAGTAAACGTTCCTAACTCCTACACCACACCTAATTTCATTCAATACGAAATGTACTAAAATTAGTATCACTTAGAACCTTTCATCCATAGAATTTCTAGCATTTTAACGTATTACTGATTTGTATTTGTTCTGCCACAAAATTAAAATCGTTACTGTATTTCAAAGCATATTAATGAAGTATACTTTCAGGCGTTCTCAAATATTTTAACCAAAGCTTATAAATAAACAATAAACTTCTGTATCAACTTCACAAAAAGCTTTGCTCCAAAGAGATCAGCTGCTGCAACAACAGCAGTTGTCAAAGCCAAACGTCAGAGTCAACAGCTTGGCCAAAAGGTGTACAATTCGGTGTATTGTTATTGTTTATTATCTAGACATATTTATTATTTGTCAACGTTATACATTGTGACAAATAATATATTTGTGTTATTGTTATAAAATGATTTATTAAAATAATTGTATTAATTTGCTTTGAAGATAAAGTTATGGTAAGTGCAAGTCAATGTTTACAAATATTCTCCAACCCAATTAACCTGAGTGAAAATGTCATCAATAAAAGAGCGAACAGATCGAATTGGGAGAGAAGCGTAGTAAACGAGAAACAAGTATTGTGTGTAGCGTTGCCAGTTTGTTATTATTGTGTGTATTTTCCCCCCGAAATTATCGCTTAATTCACCAACAAATTCCCTTCGCAAACTATCTATTCAAAACGTATTATTTTAAAATTGGTTTATTTGAATAGTGGTTTAAGTTAACATTTTTATTGAGATATTTAAAGGAATTAAAGTTTGAATTGTTTTAAAAATAATGTTAGGTGGGATTATTTTGTACTAAATATGACAATCGTCATTTCCAAATGTCAATGAGGAAATTAATTCTTAATGTGTGTAAAGTAAAATTTTAAATTTTAACTCAATAAATATTGTGTAAAATTTGGGTATTCTTAGTATGGTTGGTAATTTGGTATATTCCTAGAATATTTTACATTGAATAGATTTTGGGTTGACGTAAAAAAGTGTTTTTGTGTAATTCGAAAAATAAATGTACAAAATTTGTACATAGTATAGCAATGTAGACTGAATCTTGAACTTTGGTATTAGTATCACTATTTAAATTTTGTTTTTTATCTAAAACTTGGACTTGTAAATATACCCTCAGCCTTATGGCTGAGGGTATAAAAATGAAAATGTGCCTCATCGAAATATTGGTTTTAGACCCCATGTTTCTTTGGACAAAATTCGTTTCAGAAAATTTGGAGTCGATTTACACATGTCCGTTCGTCCGTAGTCCGTCTGTCTGGCTAGTGCACAAGACAACTCTCGAAGGCAGCAACAGATTTCATTCAACCTCTTAACATCTTAATATTTCTTCCAAACTTAGTTTAAGTTCGAATTGTGCTAAAAATTAATTTTGTAATAACTGCAAACTTTGTACAACCTATTATCTTATCAAGCCTAGATCAAGTTTGAAGATGACACCCATTGGTCCACTCTTTCTTGTACTTCCCCCACAGAGGGTCAAAATTTTCAATATTTATAATACCTAATGGAATGTCCGATATGAAAAAAAAAACTTTGCACAACCTATTATCTTTACAAAATCTAGATTAAGTCTGAAGATGGGACCCATTGGTCCACTGCTTCTGATACCTCCCCCACAAATGGTAAAAATTTTCAATATTTGTAAATCCAATATCAGGCTAATGGAATTCCATATTTCAACCAAACCTTGCCCAACCTAGTATCTTTACCAATCCTATATCAAGTCCGAAGATGGGACCAAGTAGTCAACTCCTTCCGGTACCTCCCTCACAAATGGTCAATATTTTATAAAATTTTAACAACATTAAATCCGAAACCTCTTTGTTAATAACATATTTCTTATAAAAATCTAATAAAAAAATATGTGTGTATTTTCGAAGACCTCCGCAAACCATAGACTGGGGGTATACAGTGGTGGTCACAGAATTAAAACATTTACTGTGGTAAACATATATTGATCAGCCCTCGATTCGTTTGAAGTATTTTTGAAAATTTTTTATTTCAGAAAATTTTTGCATGCAATTTTTCCATAAATAACGGTTTTTATGAAAATACATCGACTTTGAAGTGGCCATATAATTAAAACATTGTGTGGGATTTTTTACTTTACTGCATTTTTTGAAAATATTTTTAGAAAATCTCTTTAATTTTGTTAAATTTTGTGAACCCAGCACCGATAAAATCATTTACAGAAAAAAATTGTTGAAAAAATCTGTAAAATCTATCAAAATTGCCAACAATTTGTACAGTACACCTTACGTGCAGAAAATCACCCTAATTATAGAAAATAAAGGTCCGAATGCACCAGAAATTGCTAGAATTAGTAGAAAACAATAAATAATTTTCAAATTAAAGAAATATTTGAAATAAAAACTCAAAAAAATGGAATTAACCTAAAGAAACTATTCAATTTCAATAGTCTTTACTGAAGAAGGCCGGAATATTTTTGCAGTATGTGAGAAAAAATCGATTGATATTGGTATTTATTATATCAAATCGACTGTTCGAGTAGTACAGAATATATTTTATCAAAAAATATATCTGTCAGAACAGAACGAACAGAGATCAACGCCTAGGTTGACGAGTAAAAGTTTCTGGCATACAGCAGCATTTTTCATGTTCAACACAAGACTTCAAATATTTTTCAAACTGTAACATTTTTACTTCCTTGATATTAAAATAGATTAAGTGGAAGTTATTCGATTCAAAAAATATTATTTTGGAAAAATATTGTCATGTTCAATAGATTTTAAGGGTCAAGAGTTGACCATCAAACATGCTACTGTGTGCCAGAAACTTTTACTCGTCAACCTAGGCGTTGATCTCTGTCTTTATGTTCTGACAGATATATTTTTTGATAAAATATATTCTGTATATCGAACAGTCGATTTGATATAATAAATAACAATATCAATCGATTTTTTCTCACATACTGCAAAAATATTCCGGCCTTCTTCAGTAAAGGCTATTGAAATTGAATCGTTCCTTTAGGTTAATTCCAATTTTTTGAGTTTTTATTTCAAATATTTCTTTAATTTGAGAATTATTTAATGTTTTCTACTAATTCTAGCAATTTCTGGTGCATTCGGACCTTTATTTTCTATAATTAGGGTGATTTTCTGAACGTAAGGTGTACTGTACAAATTGTTGGCAATTTTAATAGATTTTACAGATTTTTTCAACAATTTTTATCTGTAAATGATTTTATCGGTGCTTAGTTCACAAAATTTAACTAAACTAAAGAGATTTTCTAAAAATATTTTCAAAAAATGCAGTAAAGTAAAAAATCCCACACAATGTTTTAATTATATGGCCACTTCAAAGTCGATGTGTTTTCATAAAAACCGTTATTTATGGAAAAATTGCATGCAAAAATTTTCTATTTTCACACTAAATCTCTTAAGTGCAGTATATCGAAGTGTTCTGAATTAAAAATTTTCAAAAATACTTCAAACGAATCGAGGGCCGATCAAAAAATGTTTAGCACAGTAAATGTTTTAATTCTGTGACCACCACTGTATATCTGTCGGCAACACCGACTAACACTTTTTTACTAAAATTTTTAAATTATATTTTCCAAGGATTGTCATATTCGTGAATTTTTAAATTATATTTTTAAGGGATTATCTAAGGCCTAGATTTTTTAAATAATTTTTTCCTGTATCTGAGCCTCTTTTAGTCCGTCGTTTTTTATGATGAATTCTCAGCTTACTTACTTAACTTATTCGCAATTTTGTTGAGCACAAAACTGGTCTAAGGCGTCAATTTTTTAAATTATATTTTTCATAACCCTTGAAAAGCCGTAAGTTTATGTAAATTTTTTGATGAAGCATTATCTGCCGCACTGCCAAATACAAAAAAAAAATATTTTATTGTAAAAACAAACAATTTATTATTATTATTTTAATGATATGTCGCTGCATAGGTTACACAATTATAATGAATGCGAAAGTATAGAACAAAAATCTTATAAAATAGGTATTATAAGTCTATCAACACCCTTTTCCCTGAATATGTATGTATGTGAAGTCAATACAAATGAAATCCTATTTTATTTCAAATTCCATTTAATTCAACCCATTCTCAATGAAATAGATACTCTGGCACTAGTTCATGTTGATATCCATGATGCTGGCGATGTTGATGATGACTGTGGGGGTTTTGAGGATGTCCATAACTACGCGTATCACAAACTGTACCCTGAACTAAAGTCTCGGTATCAGCTTTTAAAATTCGGAAATTAATCTCTTCATAATTTAGCTGACTATAAAGATAGACGGGCAGGCGGTTACTTATCACCCAAACACTTTGTCTCGGTTCACGATCGACTTTTAAATCATTCGGGAATTGAATTAGAGTGCTATTGCCTTCGGCCTCTAAGAAACGATGAAGATTGTTGCCATCATAGGGTTTCTTGGTGTTCCAACAGCCCACATCGTCACGATGTACCTGAGTGAAGAACATAACACCGTTGCGATCAATGCCAGAGGTGGAAGATTGACCATTGACACCACGTTCACCAATTGGTAGGAAATATTTGGCCAAATCCTGGGCCTTGGCGGGCCACAAGCTTTCGTCCTTGAGCAAAGCATTGGAGACAACAAATTCCTGCAATTAATGAATATTAAATTTAAATTGGCTTTTATATTTTGTTGGGGTGGAGGACCTACCTTAAAACTAGCCATAGGATGGAAATATAAAATGCGCTCCTCATCCGGTGTCTTGGCCAATGACAAACTCATGCCAAACACACCATCCAACCATTGGAAATTCAAACCAAATACATTGAAATCTGAGGCCACAGGATCAGGTGAGAAGTTGTAATTGGTTACACGCCAGCTGCGATTCTTTTTCAGGCTATAGACAACAATCCCGAAACGCCAGACATCCGTAACATAGGCATGGGCATCATCACAACGATTACGATGAACATCAACGATAATATTCGAATGTAAACTGTCCTGCTTCACTTGATCCGGTGGGAATTGATATTGTACTACTTTTTGATTTGTGGCCAAATCATAGGCCACAATTTTTGGTGGACACACCTGGCTTAGGCTGACTGTGGCATTAACAATACCCGAATCAATTAACCATATACGACCACAATCATCGATTTGGGTACGATAAACGGATATTAGTTTTTCACAATCGGGGTTGTAGGGATCACCATGGGATTCCCAATCTGGGTAGGGGCGTATTGGAGGACTTTCTTCCTTCGGGGGATAGGGTAACCAACCAAAACTGGCCGGTACACCGTCCTTCCAACGAGGTGTGGTAATGAAAATGCGATCTTTATAGAAGTCCACACCCAAGGGTAGATTATTTTCAGCTATAAATTCTCTGAAAAGAAAAACAAACACACACACACACATATAATAAATATACAAAGCATGACCTTCAGTTGTTTTAGATTTCTCTAGGCTGTTGTTTTTTTCTATTGTCTATCATACCTATTGGCAATAGCCTTTTGTCTTTGTCCAAAGGTGGGATATTCAAAATCCAAATATTTCCATTGGTTAACAATTTCAAATGCTTGTGATTTCTTTGTTATTGTTGTTGCTGCTGGTGGTGGTGACTCAGGTGCACCATAACCATATGCCGTTGCTCCACCATATTCAATCTCTTGCACGGCTGATGGCGCTGCATAAATTGGACTACTGCGATAGGCTCCAGCCAAGACCCATTCAATACCAGCCAAAACCACAATTGCCACAGTCACTGAATGGCTGTTAACAAAACTGGAACAGGGCATTTTGTTGTTGTTGTTGTTTTTGCTGCGTTTCCTTTACTGAAATTTTTGTTATAGAATTATTTAAGAGATCTTTGTGTTTAGATTTTGAAAAATTTGAATACGCAAGCGTCTTATTTACCGTTGTGAACTGTATCATTTGGCAACTGAAACTGAAATGGCAATTAACTCACAACACGGCTGGCCAGGCAGCTTGGCCTAGGTGTTTGGTTGTCTGTCTGGTGGACTGGTCTGGTACAACAAGAAGGCCATTTTTACAATATGAAGTTAATTCCAAAACATTGGAAAGGCTAGACGTTTCTCTCATTTGGGGGTAGGTTGTTAACGCTAAGCGTAGCTAACTGCAATACCATTTCGTCAAGCAACACACATGATTAGAACAGTGTTGCCAATATATATTAAATATTACGATCAAATCTTTATTTGGTTAAATCTGAAATTCTAAACGTAGGAATTGTTATATCATGAACTTTCAATGTTTTAGTCGATTTTGCAACATAAGTGGATGAATAAAATGTATAATACCAAAAAATTGTATAATGGTCATCATTTTGGGTGTTATTATCCCTCTTAGGTGGTATAAATTTCCTTCGTGCATTTTTAAACCTAAATGACTGTAATTGAGTATTTTGGATTCTGAATATAACCCATGTTCTAATCAGATATTTCTTTAAATACGTTGGTGCGTATGACAATTGTCAACATGTATACGTCACCGGACTCAAACAAATAATTTTAAAGTCCTGATTTATATTAGGCGAGTTTACTTGCGGCAATTATTATCGTTCCCTTTTGAACTTGCTTCATGCGTCTATATAAGGCAATTCGGTTTCGAAAATATTTCATTTTTCATTTGATGTCAATAGTTTTTTCACATTTAAATAAATATAAAATGTCAACAAATACGAAATACACAAAACGAATTAAAATCGGTACGAGCAAATTTTTTTTGCCCCTCTCTCCTACAAACAAAGACTTGCCGCAAGTAAACTCGCCTAATCTAAATTGAGACTAATAACAGGATTTTGTGACATTTACGAAAATATTTGTTTATCTTCATTCCAAGAAGTGTTATAGACAAAAATTTTTTTTCTGGTGTAAAAATTTTGGAGAAAGTTCCATTTCGAAATGTAAAATTTCCAACGATTCTCACTTCTGGGATTAAATATGGATTTTCGAATCGCATTTCATTCGATTTTCTTGAAACAGGGTATATAGATGATTCTAGCGATGTTGATGATGATTATGAGGATTTTGGGGATGTTCTTAATTATGCGTATCACAAGCTGGACATCGAACTAAAGTCTATGTATCTTCTTTTAAAATACGGATATTATTCTCCTAATAATTAAGCGGAATATATAGATGACCATGAAGTGTCATAGATTAAGCGGTATATAAAGACATTGTCAAGGTTCTAATCAGATATGAGTTTAAAAAATATTTACAATTTATGATAAGTCTATACGGTATTTCTTTAAATACATCGATGCGTATGACTAATGTCAACATGTATACGTCACCAGATACAAACAAATATTTTAAATAACAAATATATGGAAGTATTTCAAAATAAAACTCTTATAAAACCAGTAAGGAAAGTAGTAAAGTCGGGCCGACTATATGATACCCTTCACCACTTTGGGTATATTCAACATATGCATCCTAACAGACGTCGCATTTTTAAAGGACCAGTAAAATGAAATTGGATCCATAAACATGTCATTCTGCAACCGATAATAAATTTTTTCATTTGGCCAGATATAGAAGCTATATCTAAATTTGAACCGATTTTCACGAAACTTAACACTCATCATTCAAAACTTAATTGAATACGCTGGGCCAAATTTCGTGCAAATCGAAAGATATATAGGGACTTTGGTGCACTATTTACATTAAATCGGACGAAAATATATATGGGAGGTATATCTAACCAATTTTCAGGAAACTTAACACACATCATTTTAGACCTAATTCATTACACTGTGCCAATTTTCGTGCAAATCGAAATATTTATAGGGACTTTAGTGGACCATTTACATGAAATCACATCACTCTATACCTAATTCATTACCCTGTGCCAAATTTCGTGCAAATCGATATATAGGGACTTTGGTGCCGCATTTACATTTAATCGGACGAAAATATATATGGGAGCTATGCATATTCTCAAAAGGAACCAATTAAAAATAACTTCTTATTGTTTTTTTTAAGTAGAATTAATTAGAATCCACAACTAGTTCATCCATAAAAAATATTTTGAACGACTAGTTGGTCCTTAAAAATATTGTTTTATGGACCCATGTTGTGGTCCTTAAAAAATATTATTTTTAATCCACCACTAGGGCGGGTTTAAACATTACTTTACTAGTTCGGACTTAAAATAAAATGTTATTAGAAATATAATGATATTTTAATTAAACACAATTAAAAGAAATCCATTAGGTATAGGCATCATTACATCGGTGCGTATATCTTCTGTCGTCATGTATACGCCACCAGATACAAACAAATATATTTCTTTATATTCTGACAATACGTCCTTCATAAAACAATATTTCAGAGAGATACCTAAACTGTTCTAAATGTATGTTCGGAAAATATTTTTATACCCCATACAACTAGGTTGTAAGGGTATTATCAAGAATTTGTAACGCCACAACATATTGGATCTAGGCCAACTTTTAAGTATACCGATTGTCATATATCGACTAGTTGAGTCGATCTAGTCATGTGTGTCCTTCTGTCTGTCCATTATAATTTGTAAGTAAAGTACAGGCCACAGTTATGGACCAATCCAATTAGGTTCAAAGAAGACTCCTATTATAATAATCGGTTAATATTTAGCGTATGAATTGGACCAAAAACTGTATTTTTTTTAGTTTTCCGGTTCGCTCTATATATCACAATAATAATAATAGTAAAAGCTATAACTAAAAAACTTAGTTCGAATGATTATATTAAAACAGAATTTTTTAATTAAATTTTCACATACAACACTACATATATTTAAAAAAAAACGAATATATTTTGGATATTGCTGGACTTAACAGCTTTCACAACTTTTATTACAATACCTCAAGTAGTTCAAAAGTTATGGCACAAAATAACCATAGCTTTAAATCATTTTCTCCATTTCAATCTACTGCCTCATAGATGGCGCTGCGGTCGTCAGGCCGTTGGGGAAGTTGGAAAACTTGAAATAACTTTTGAACAAATTGTGATATTTGGAAAATTTTAACGATTATGTCCAGCTTGACGCTCGCTGACCCGCCGTGTAGTAAAATAGATATGAAATGCCGATCATAAGTGTTTTAATAATGCTACAAAATAATCTCAAGCGTTTAATGGGAGATTTCTATGCGATTTTCTACACAAACTAATTCGATATGGGAATAGAGGATCCCTTGTGCTTTAAAGAAGCGTTGGATTTTTATACCCTTCACCACACTGTGGTGTTATGTCTTTGTGCATATGTTTGTAACAGGCAAAAGGAAACGAGATAGACACATGGTTCCTTTTGAGAATGTGCATAGAATCACTTTCTGAGTCGATATATGCATGTCCGTCAGTCCGTCCGTCCGTCTGTCCATGTTAAATTGTAAACAAAGTTCGAATTGGATGAAATTTGGCATATGTCACTTATTTGGCCCAAGGACGAACCCTATTGAAATTCAAGAAAATCGGTTCAGATTTATATATAGCTCCCATATATAGTTTCGTCCTATTTAAGGTAAGTGGTGCACCATAGTCCCTATATATCTTTCGATATGCACGAAATTTGGCATAGTGTACTGAATACAGTCTAAAATGATGAGTGGTAAGTTTCGGGAAAATCGGTTCAGATTTAGATTTAAATCCCATATATAGTTTTGTCCGATTTTATGTAAATGGTGCACCAAAGTCCCTATATATCTTTTAATATGCTCGAAATTTTGCATGGCGTACTCAATTGAGTCTAGAATTATGTGTGCCAAGTATCGAGAAAATCGGTTCAGATTTACATATGGCTCACATATATAGTTTCGTCCGATTTAAGGTAAATGGTGCACCAAGGTCCCTATATATCATTCGATTTGCACGAAATTTGGCACAGTGTACTGAATACAGTATAAAATGATGAGTGGTAAGTTTCGAGAAAATCGAAAATCGATGGAGATTCGTCCGATTTAAGGTAAATAGTGACCCAAAGTCCCTAAATATCTTTCGATTTGCACGAAATTTGGCATAGGGTACTGAATTAGGACCAGAATGATGTGTGCTATGTTTCGTGAAAATCGCTTCCGATTTAGATTTATATTTTCGTCCGATTTGATTTAAATTGTGCACTAAAGACCCAAAGTTTGGTCGACCGGCAAAAGTTACTATAATTGAATGTTTTGTACGTTGAAGTCTTTCTAACAATCTAGTATATATATATATATATATATATATTTGTTCGCTCATGACAAGTGTATTTACAGAATTTTTTTGGTTTTTTCTGTATTTTTATTTACACTTGATGTTGTTGTTATGCATGCATTCCATACCTCGTGTGTTAAGTTTCGAGAAAATTGGGTAAAATTTAGATTTAAGTTCTCTCAATTTCATGTCAATGATCCTTCGAAAAGGCCACGTCTGTTAGGATACATATGTAGAATATATTCAAAGTGGTGAAGGATATCATATAGTCGGTCCAGTCCGACTTTTCTACTTTCCTTACTGGTTCGAAATATATCTGCTCATTTTAAAATTATTGTCCAATATATATCAAATACATGTATTTGCCTTACAATATTCCACCTTATTTGTGTAATCGAGCAAACAAAAAAATCCAAAAACCCAATTTGTGATCCTTAATTTTAAGGATTTTTAATTCACAACTCGGGTTTTTTTAATTTCATTTCGGAAAACATTTTTTGAAAATATCCCATGGAATGTCTTTGAGCAAATCACTTTGAAATCATCTGAATGGGTTCTCATTGTATTTCCCCTCCATTGTTCCCACATACAATCATATCGAA